TATGGACTCCGAACTAGGTGCGTTCCTCTTATTCTTCCTGCAAATTCGACCAGGTTGTGAAAACAGGTTATTTGGCTTCTTCGCTTACGACATACTGTCTTCCGTAATAATGTTAGATTACAACTTCTATACAAGATAGGGAGACTGCGACGATACTAAAGGTCACAGAATCTTGGTCTTCATGCCTTTGATTGAAGAGTTTTATTTTTATGTCCTTCATGGTTCTCCTCACTAAAGATGTGCTGGCGAAACGTTTAAGAATGTTCTTGGTCAATGATCCAATGACGGAAAAGCCAGTAACAACAATAATGGAGTTTGCAATAGGAGATATGGTTATTGATATCTCCAAGTCGGTAAGACGAAATTGCGAATACGACTTAAAAATGAGCTTAAATTATGGCAAAATAGTCCACCCAATTTTTTATATTTTTACGTCTAAGAAGTAAAATGAGAAATGGGTCTAAAGAGTACAAATGCCAGATGACTCAAGCACAGAATTGTTAAATGAAATTATAATGTAAGTCAGTGATTCCGAAACTGTGCACCGCGACGCCCCTGGGAGCCACTGATGCAAGCAATTCAACCGATAGGAAAACTACTAAATACTTGTAAACTTGGGCTTCTAGCGTTATAGTTAGTGCAAAGAATCTATCATAAATGCATTATCATATATATATATATATATATATATATATGAAGATCAAGATTCTGTGGCCTTAGGCTTGGTTGAAGTCTGCAAATCTGTAAATACATTATGCTGTGGCTAACTGCAAGGCAAGCTAGTGTCAGACGCTATACAACAAGAGATTAATATTTTTGTAGATATGAAGATAAAGATGATATGGTCATCTGCTTGGTCGAAGTCCTCGACCTCGTTTTTTGCAACTTAGTCGGAGAGTCAGAGAGAACGTGTAGTACGTACCTAGTCCTGTGCTATAGTATTCGTGATTTCCAGCATCGGAGCATTGGCTTACCAAACATTTCGTCGGCATCTTCAATGAGAGGCGTTATCGTTAGCAAGGATTTAGGACTTATCAAAGTGACAAGTAAAGGCAATCCCCTTGACCAATTTTCTGTTCAACCGTTGTGATATCAATCCTAACCCCTATTTTTTGTTCTACCTTCTAATTCTGCGTCTCTTTCACTCAATCCAACTTCAAATGGCTTATCTACCTATTCACACAATTCTATGCTCTCGTTTCCTCCAATGTCGCTTAAGAATGCGTCGCTACAAGTGGGTTTATTGAAGCATAATCATCTTCACCACCGGTACCAAGTGCCGTTTGCAGTGCCACTGACCTTCATTCTGGCTACCTGTCTCCTGCCCCACTTGGTGATTAGTTGCTGCTAAATATCAAAATTACTGTCTAACTGTCTGAAGTCTGGCTGTCTAAGAGCCTTCAAGTCCTGTCCCTGATTACGCAATGCTCGAGGATTTAGAGCAGTGATGCTCATGCCCATGTCCATACCAGTGCCTGATAATCCTCCTCTCCTTATGCTTCAAACCTATGACTCGATTATCCTCTTTCTCATCCCCACCCACATTGGGGCCCTGTAAAAATGCACCGCTGCCCCTTTCCCCCAGAATCGCTAAAAGCACATTCCTCTCGTCCTTCAAATTGACCCTCCCATCTAAACCAATCAAAATGTTAATTGTAGATATGAAGATCAAGCTGGTGTGGCCTTCTGTTTAGTGGCAGTCTCGTTTAGCTTTATAGTATTGGTTCGATCTTGTTTTCGCAACTTGGGCAAACAAACACTCTAATTTCTTAACTCACATCTCACAGGTTAAATTTTTGGCTGATTCTATCGCCTTTTCTTGACTTCCTTTGTCCATCAATATATATTATTCAAATCAAACTTAAATAGGTGATGATTTAAAGACATACAGAAACAAAAAATTAAAATATAAAGAAAACGTTTGGCTTACTAGGGATGCATAAGGGAGTAGAAGCTTTTAGAATTTCAAAAAAGAAGCTGCAATGCATGGAAAAAGTTTTCAGCGATAGTAGGTGCCGAGTCTTTGCCTTATAAGCCGGAATAACGTTACGTGGACCTTCGATCGACTAGAGGAATAAAAGTCGGCAAGTGCGAAGAGATCATCTGTTACCAGGCTACAGATGGAAGACTATATAGCTCAGTATTTATCTTTAAATAGTTGCAAATTAGATGAGCTCAAATTGAAAGAATGGACATTATTTTTCCCCAGGTCTGAGCAATGCCTTCTAAGATGTCAAAAGTGATGCGAATGATGATGCTGAATGTATAGTAGCCTGTTAATTAACAAATTAGTCCCACCCATTCGTTTTCAATATGCTTCTTAAAACAGAAATCCGGAAGAAAAGTCAGTAGAAATTTGAGTATACAAATAAACCAACAGGGCCCATTTACGAAAATTTTTAAAGACCGTATTGAAATGTGTATTTATTTGGTATCTTCTCAAATTTTTGGGAAATAAAACTACTAGGAAATAAGTAATGATAGGAATGTGTGTGGTTGCGTGAATCAGCTTCACCAAAAAGTTAATTCTGTTAGTATTAAATATGTGAGTCTTTTTACACTATCCCTTGGTAAAAACTAAAGGAGAAAAACTTTATCCTATGTGTGGTTTTTAAATTCTTCCATTGGTCTAGGAGTAGTCAACATTTTTGATATCGTATTAGCCTATTAAGTAAGCCGATATATATTAGAATATAAATAGATATATTAAAAGTTAAAAAGCATTCGAATCTAAATAAGAAGTTTGCTTTTAAAATAGGTTGAAAAATCAAACCTTCCGGTTATTGGAGTAGATATAAGGACTGGTATTTTAGGGATTTCGGAAGTACAATGTAGTCATTTAATTTTGCATTCCCTATTTGCTAAGCTGTCGTCGGATACCAAACCAGTTATCTTGGTCTAAATAAGCCAGAAGGACTCGGAATGAGAACAATGAGAAAAGATAATAAAAGATTTAAAAAACACGAAAAGAAACAAAGCCTTCTTTATGAAGTTTAACTTTATTTTATTTATGCTCCAGTTCATCCGAATGATTATTCATTATTAAGTATGAGTACGATAAGATTTATTATTATCCAAAATCCTAGCTTGACTTTCCTAAGTCCCCTAGTTTAGGATCGCCATTTTACCATGCCCATATGCTTATGAATAATTAAATGTTATAAACTTGCAAGGTAAGCACTTCACTTATATAATCCAGTTTACTATCCCATTATGGACATCGGCGAAATATATATTAGAAGTTAAAAACATTCGAATCTACATAAGGTTTTTTTTAAAAAAAAAGGTTGAAAAATCAAACCTTTAGTTCATCGGGGTAGATATAAAGAGGGTTAAACGTGGTGTGCCAATCAAGTTAAAGCCACTTAATTGGTCATAAATCGAATATAACATGAAAAATGCCTGATCTCAAGAGGAATTGATGAGCTTGAAAGACATGGAAAAGCATTATAAGAATCGTTAGTGTCAGTTTAAGGCCAGACGGACTCAAACTCATGCAATCTGTTTAGGAGTAGAAACCATCAGGTATAAAATAAGAGTATTTAAAACTGATCATTACCAATTACCAAGTATATCCTAGGTGTACAATACATAGGTAAACGGGTATTGCAAGTTTTCCGGAAGTACAATGTGGTCATTTTATTTTGCATTCTCTTTTTGCTGAGCTGTCGTCTGATACCAAACTAGTTTTCTTGGTCTAAATAAGCCAGAGGGACTCAGGAAGAGAAAGTAAAAAAACTTAATATTCCACTCCATAACATTGAGAAAAGATTTAAAAAACACCAGAAGAAACAAAGCAAGGGAGCAGACCCTATAGATAAATCAAAATGGGATAATAATTTTTCATAATGAGACGTTAAATCATTGAATAAACCAGCTTACAAAGAAGCAACTACCTCAATAATAAGGAGAAAATTTATTAACAGTAAGCATAGTTTTGATTAAATAAAGAGTTAGGTTTTAAATAATAAGCTGAAATATACATAAAAAGAAATGTATCGGCTTAGGAATGCAACGAAAGAGAGTGAGGATATCGAGTGTCAGTTTCCTCTATGCCTGGACTGAAATTGAATCGCACCATGAAAAATACCCTAAGTCACGACCTTCTCTATCTGGTGGGGGTCAATACCACCATAAGTTAATCCCAATCTGCTTCCTCTCCTCTCTCCAAGCCCCCGACATAACTGACCATCTACCATCTCCAGCCAAGTCTCAGTACGTTGTATCTGTCCCTCCTCACAAGCTCTGATATCGTGTAAATAACCGTTAAAATGCAAGTCAAAATATCATCCTCAGACAAGAAACGTTTTCTTACATTAAACAATGAGTCAAGGCAAAAGTAGCAGTTTGCTCATATGAATGCTCTATGAGTTTAGTGATACGAACTTAGCATCATTATATCTCTTAGGCCAATTTGTGTTCTTTCTGCTATCACAAAGGCGTAGATGTAATTCCGAGAACCCAGCTTTAATCATTTTGTAAGCCAAAATATAATCAGATCCTACCAACCAAAATTAACAGTTTGCTTATGTAGATAAAAGTATAATCCACATCAATGTAGTCATTTAAAATAATTAGTTCACCTTCTGCTAGCTGGGCGATGGTCGTCTGAACTTCACCGTGTCCTGCTGTATCAAGAATGCCCCGCGTGGCGCCAACAACCGCTCCGCCGGATCCTGATCCGAGGCCAGCGGCAATAACCGAGTTCGCACCATTTGCATTACCGCCACCATTAGCACCCCCGCCAGCGTTGACACTGGCAATAGTCGAGTCTGATGGCGAAGAAGGGTGTCCGGTTACGTTAGCAGTGATAGCAGCATTTGCTGCTGCAATGTCTGATTGGCTGGGGAAACCTTGCGCGTTAGCAAGTTGGACACAGGTGGTGAGCGAGGTTTGAGCCCAGAGCACGGCATCCCCGGGAATTGCGTTGATCCAGCGTTGCACAAACAGCATTCGTTCCTGTGACAACGAAGCGAAAATAAATAGATGAGTTAATG